TAGGGTACCACACTTGCTGTGCAAGTGTTATGTGCCCATCTCTTCCCTGAGATCCAGAATCACAGAATCACAGAATAATGAGGTTGGAAGAGACCTCTGAGATCATTGAGTCCAACCTATGCCCTGACACCTCAGCTAGACTATGTCCAGTCTTTTTTTAAACACATCCAGAGATGGTGATTCTACCACCTCCCTGGGAAGAACATTCCAATACTTTATTATTCTTTCAGTGAAAAATTTCTTCCTAATATCCAGCCTATACCTTCCCTGAACATGTGTGCTCTGCTTGGCCTATGATCTTGAGTTTCCCACTTGCCTTTGAAAGAACTTACAACAACAAAAAAAAAATATTAAATCATCACAACAAAGTGATTCACTAGAGACAGGGGAGATGACATTCACCTAGTCTGTCTCATTCACCAGGGGAGGGCTGTCCCAACTCCTTTATGCCCACATTTCCTGCTGTGACCAGTTTGTCTCCTGGGCTATCTGCAGTACTTGGGTCAGAGCTGGAGCTTGCTACAATGAGGATAAGGTGGGAAAAAGTTGCAGAGCAGTGGACTGTCTTCTGTTGGAGGCTGTCTGAGCTCCAGCAATTAGTGGTGAGGTGATATCCCACTCTCCTTGGGTGAGTAGGGAGCTCTGTTCCAGAGACATCATCAGTGGGGTTTTTTTAGGTGAAACACACAGCTAAGGTCATGAACCTGGGTGGCTATTGGAGAGCTGGCCTCCAAAACTCCTTTTGTAAACTTCAGAATTTTGCTGTCCAGCTTGCAGTAGTTTTATTTTATCTTCCTAAGCCATTGTGCATTATCAGTTGGAGAAGACATCCATCACTGTTTCCTTCCAAGAAGTGTTCTCTACTGTAGGGTCCAAGAGTTTGTTGTATTTGAGTGTCAGATGAAATGATCTCTGCAGAAATGCTAAAAGGCTTAGCAAGCTGTGTTTACACAGCACTGTTGTACAGGCAGATGAGAGCACTGATTTGGAGGTGTAGGTGGTACATGTGTACAATTTACTGGCTGACAGAGCACATTCCCATGCATTACTTTGTTTAGGAGGAAGTTTAGATGTAATGACTGCGAGACAAAAGGCAGCCCCTTCCCAGTTTATTTGCTTCTCCCGACTGAAATTGCTGCTTTGTTCAGGTCCTTCTTGGCCAACAGCCCTCTTGGCTATTTATTCAGTAAATTTTTGCATGACTTGATAAATGCATGCTGGAATTGCAGGAAACTGGCAGTTTGTTATTTACAGTTCCTGCAGCTTTCTCCCTGTTATTGGCAGTAAGGAGGGCAGACTCTTAGCAGCTGGAACAGCTGGTAGGTGGAAGCAGCCTGAGACTTCAGGAGGAATTGCATCAGTACCTAACAGCCTGTTAGGCTTCCTATTGGCACTGCAGAGGGGTCTGGGGCTCTCTGGTAGATCTGGCTTTAGCTTGCTTCATATTTTCTTAAAGGTTTAAAAGCAGATATTCAAAACACAGAGAGCTCTTTGCACTAGCGCAGAAATACACACAAGAAGGGAAATTCCATCCTTGACTTTTAAATTGTTTTTTTCAGAGCCGTGCATATGCTTTGGCTTATATCAAAATGCACAAAATGTCCTTGCCACCATTGTGTTTGTGGATGCATGTGCATATTGTGGTGTCTAACTGGCTGATCTTTCTGCAGCTCCCTGATGTGCCCATGCAGCTCCTAATTTCAGTCCAGCAGATGTACACATGCATTTTCATCAGCCAGTCTTGGTGATTTCCCCAAAACAACATATGTTGAGGGATAACAGAATTAGAAAATGCTGATTCCCAATGTTGACATCATCCTACTTCAATTGTTTGCCTTTTAGACAAAATAATCCTCTTCCCCTAGGGTTTTGCCTGCTTTGGAGTTTGGTGCTAATCAGTAGAAACTCAATGTTTGCTGGTTTAGATTCACCACAAAATTAGCTTACAACTTGAAAAGAGATGAGCTGGTGAATTAGTGAGAAAGGAAACTTATTTTAAAGGCCTGACTTTTGAGGTAGGCAGCAATTTGTTTTATACTGCTAGATCCTTCATTTTCCCCAGTGTTACTATTACCAGAGCAGGACCAACTTTCTTCCATGGACCCCCATCACTCATCACTGCAATCTGGTGTATTTGCCATGTGTGGCACTCATTGATGTAGTACTAAGCTATCATCTAAATTGATTCAGCCCTGGTTCATTTTATTTAAAGCTCCCAATTGGCTAACTCTAACCTGTATTTTTAAATGGTTAGCTAATGATGGCATGGGCAGTTAAGCAGGAGCTGGTCAGATTAATTAAATACTTTACAAAAATTTTTTTTCAAACCAGTGAAATATACATTATGTATCACACAGTTCTACAGCTCAGTCTGTTCAGCAGAAGCTTCCCTGTCACCTCCTGGCTCTGCTGACCCCATCATCTCAGGATTAGTATCACATATCAGCCTGCACATGTAGGGTTCCCAAAGACTCTCACCTTCTGCGCTGTTCTTTGTAGACTTTTTAATCCCATTCCACAAGGCAGTGAGACTGTTCACATCAGTAAGGCAAGAAACTGGATTTTTCACTGTTAGAACTATGCCAACTGTCTGACACATAGGTGTTATCTATGCCAAATTCCTGAGAGCTGATGCATTCCTGTCAAGGCAAAGAAATTTCCTACAGGCCTTTTGTTGGGTTTAACTTCTGGGCCTCTCCACACTTATCAGGTGTCAGAAATAAGGTATTTGTTATAGATTAGAATCCTTCAAAAATGAAGTTGCTTCTTCAGAATCTACTTCTGCTTGTCCCCCAGGACACAGCTACATTATTGAGTTTAATATAAGTAGGTTTAATTTTTCAGACCTGAAGATAATGCATGGGAAGAAGCTTTCTGTCACTTTCCTGCTAAAAGATCTTTGGGTTTCTTGGTTTTGCTTTTTTTCTGTTCTTTTGGTATCACTTTAAAAATACTCAATTTTTATTTCCTTGGCATAGTCTGTGCTGGAAGGCATTTGCAATGTGCTGATTACTCTCGGGAGCTTTGAAGGATATTCCTTTATCCAGCAGTGTGTGAACCCATAGCTTACACTGCCTACATTTTCTTCTGTGATGAGTTCAGGGTTGCCTACATGGCCATCGGGCTGGCTGGGTTAGATCACACCGGTTTCTGTGGACAGTGGCTGGAAATAGATCCACTGCATTTGATTTCCAGTGAAGTAACCTGGCTTCTGCCTGCAGAGCCATTGACTGAAAGGGCCCTTGTGGACATGGCCAGACAGGGGCCGAGTTCAGCTCCAGAGGGATGGTGAAGAGCTCACAGCTCTGCCTGGGCATCCCAGCTGGACAGCAACACTGCTTCTAAACCCACTGTGGGAAGGGACTTTTATTTTCTGTGAGACCCACACTTCATCCAGGATGTGCCCAGAGTCCAAACAACAGCTGCAAACAAGCGTTTTCTTATCTCCCTCTCCAATCTTGGCACATCCCCAGGCTGAACAATAGCCACTGGATTGTCTATTTTCTGGCTAAAGGGAGATAATGGGAGTCAATTTGCACAGAGTTACTCCTTGTAGATCAAGGACAATTCTGTAATAAAAAGGGGACATTTTCAAGGAACTCCCAGGGAACAGAAAGCTATGTGCCATGGTTCTTTCTCTGGAAGCATCAGCTGCTCCTTGTGCTCAGCACATAATCATATGAGCAGAACCCAAAGAGCTGAGCCCCTGGGCTCACACCACAACAAAGTGGGGTTCTCTTTATTAACTCTTTGGGATTTTGGAAACTGCTCTCTTTCAAGAGATGGGAATGCCACAGACTCTAGTGTTCACATCTGAGAGTAGAATATACAAGGGGTACAAGGAGTAGCTCATCTAAAGGAGAGAAACAAAAAGGAAAGGAACTCTGATAACACCAAATTTAAAAATCAGGAATTCAAAGCATAGTAGAGAGAAGAGTTTTCACCACTGCATCTGTCCTGCTGGCCCAGGAACTGAGCCAGAGACCTGCATAGCTGATTCTCCCAGTACCCCCTACCCACAGGAGTATCAGTGAGTTATGGAGCTAAGATGGGACTTGGTAACCCTGGACAAGATCTGTCTTCCCAATCTGGTGTTTTAAAATGCCATTGGGGTGACCGATGGCTTTTTCTTACTTCTTTCTCCCACATTGTGCAACTTGTGCAAACAAGTTTAGGTATGTAGCAGAAAAAGCCATTGGTATGTGTTTCTGTGGAAATGAAATCTTTGGGCTGTGAAGAGGGCCTGGGATATGTGTAGGAGGGGGGCAGGAGGTGAGGCTGGTCCAGCTGCCGGCCCGGAGAGTGGGATGCTGGAGCAGGGGATGCTGCAGCCGGCAGGATGGGGATGGGGATGCTGCAGCGGCAGGATCGGGGATGGGGATGCTGCAGCCGGCAGGATCGGGGATGGGGATGCTGCAGCCGGCAGGATCGGGGATGGGGATGCTGCAGCCGGCAGGATCGGGGATGGGGATGCTGCAGCGGCAGGATCGGGGATGGGGATGATGCAGCCGGCAGGATCGGGGATGGGGATGCTTGCAGCGGCAGGATGGGGATGCTGCAGCCGGCAGGATCGGAGATGTAGCGGCAGGATGGGGATGCTGCAGCGGCAGGATGGGGATGGGGATGCTGCAGCGGCAGGATCGGGGATGTTGTAGCGGCAGGATGGGGATGCTGCAGCCGGCAGGATCGGGGATGCTGTAGCGGCACGATGGGGACGTTGCAGCGGCAGGATGGGGATGCTGCGGCGGCAGGATCGGGGATGTTGTAGCGGCAGGATGGGGATGCTGCAGCGGCAGGATGGGGATGCTGCAGCGGCAGGATGGGGATGCTGGTCCCCACGGTGTGCGTGCTCAGGACTGGCCTGGACGTCAGCGGGAGGGGAGGGGGAGCCCGGGCCGGCTCCGGCGCCGTTGCTGAGGCAGCAGGAGCCGCGGCAGCATCCCCGGGAGCCGGGCTGGCAAACTCCTCCTCCCTCCCGCTCTCATCCCCGCTCTCCCCGCTTCCTTTGCAAAGATGGCAACCGAGGGGCTGCACGAGAACGAGACCCTGGCGTCGCTGAAGAGCGAGGCCGAGAGCCTGAAGGGCAAGCTGGAGGAGGAGCGGGCCAAGCTGCACGACGTGGAGCGTGAGTGGGGCCGGGCGGGGCGGCCGCGGGGCCGGAGCGGGGCCGCAGCGGGGCTGGGCCCGGCCGGGAGCGGGGCCGGGGCCGGAGCGGGAGCGCTGCCCAGGCTCTGAAGGCGGACACGCCGTGCCCCGGGCCCCCGGACAGCGCCGTGCCGTGCCCGTGGCTCCGGGGCGGGGCAGGGCCTGGGCCGGGCAGGGCCCGCAGCACCCCCGGCCCCCCGGCGCTCCGGCCCGGCCCGGCCTGGCGGGGCTGGGACCCTCAGATACCCTCGGTACAGGCCGGGATTCGCCCGCACGCCGTCTGGGTGTAGTGTCAGCAGCCAGGAGGAACCCCGGCCATGTGGAAGTTGATAGGAATTCGCTTTAATGAGGCCGGGATTTCACCCGAGGTGTGGAAAGGCTTAAAAAGGAGCATTATTTCCCAAAACAGCTGCTCTGCCCCTCTTCTGCCAGGGAAACAAGTTGCAGGGATGCGGTGCTGATTCAGAGGTGCGGGTGAGTCAGTGCTGGAGCTGTCAGTGTGTAACTCACCGTGATCAGCTGCGGCTTCAGGATCCGGGGACAACCCAACAAATGCGATGGACAGAGCTCAGCCCGGCCCTCCCCCTGCCCCTTTCAGGAAAAGGAAACTCACCTTGCGTTAATGGAGCTTTTCAAATACGTACTCACAAGTTTTGAGATATAAAACATCGTTTTATTATCATGATGTCATTTTATAATGACAACGATACATTGCAGGGTTTTGTTTTGGTTTTGTTTGGGTTTTTTTACTTTTGGTGTTTTTTTTTTTTAGAAAAACATGTAAGTTACTGTTTTTGTCTGAAATCATGTAGCTTACTCTATTAAAAATATTAGTGGGTCATTAAAACTTTTCTTTCATGTGTCCCGATGCCTTAAGCATTGAACAGGACTCTGAGCTTCTATCCAGTGACTTGGTTTTAGTTTTTTGTAAGAATGAGGGACTGAAAAACACTTTTGATTTTCAGATTGGGAAGGATTACAATAATATATATATATATATATATATATTCTGGAATAAATAGAACATTTTCTTGTCTAAGTTAGACAATCGTGTTATATGAATGTCCTGTTAATCAGAAAATCAGACTTGTTAAACAAACAAAGATGTCCTCATTACAGAAACATTACCATAAATCACCATATTCCTATAGTACCATTTCTGTATCAGAGGTGGCAGGGTCTTTGGTTAACAGACCTCTTAAACATATTCTTAAACCCATTTTTGCTCACAAAATTTTACCTGTGATTACAGTGACACTGTAACTGTGTGTGCCATTGAAAGTCGTGGGATGTTCTTTGTCATATATAAAATCTGTGAATTTCCATTGGAAGGCTGTGTTTGCAAAGCCATTACAGCATTTCTGAGACAAAAGTGTTATGCTGCTGTAGAACAATGCTCCTTTATTCTGTATCAGAGCTTTTTACACCTAAATTATTCCCAAGTACTATTTCTGCAGAGTTTTTAAGTTTCAGAATAAGGCATCATTTCTGATTTTTGCGTGGTTGGTTTGGGGTTTTTTTCTTTCCCCTAATCTAAAATTGTATTTTCTGCATTCTTTTGCTTGGATCATGACTTTCCCTCTGTGGTTCCCAAAACAAATAGCTGGCTGAAATAGGATTGCCCTTATTTGTTCAATTGGTTCTAAACAGCAGCTCTCAAAAATGTGCATAGAAAAAGGAAATGCCAAACATGCATTTGGTTTGCAGTCTTATAATTTTAAGGAGTCGATTCAAGAGCTTAAAATTTTGGGTATAGACAAAAGTTTGTTCTGTTTGTGTGATCCATGGATTTTTAGGGCCAGAGAGACCATTAGACCCAACACAGAAAAGATCAAAGACCCAAGAGTATCTGCATCAATTCCACACCTCCTGTTCAGACCAAACAATATTTTAAAGAAAAATAGGCAGTTTTATCTGGACCTCTGTAAAACTACTCAAGCTGTTTAGTGGCTTTAGCTAATCTATTTGTCTGAGTGCATGCTTTTCCACTATCTTTGAACAATATTGGTGAATGCTTTAAAATAACTGTCTGACTCTCAACCCTGTGCTGGGCAGGAGCAGGATTATTATGGCTGTGGTTGGAGATAAGCATCCTCTGGGAATCAGTGAGGCTAAACCAGACAATTTCACAGAGTCTCAGCTGAATTCACATAATGGAAACCGTTTGTCCAGAGTCTGTGAAACATTTGTTTTTTCAGATATATTCTGGACACAAGCATCTTTCCAGCTGCCATAATAACCTCCTGTCCTGTGTTTCCATGGCTTTTGATTGGACATTTGGCAGGTTTCTATGGGCAGTAGCAGGGGGAATGTATCTTTTCCTCAGTGGGTTTATATGGTATTTTCTCAGAAATTTGCTTCTGACTTATGGGCAAGTCATGAGGAATGGTGGACAGCGCTTGTCCCCTGGCTCAGCAGGGATTTCAGCTGAGAGCATTATTCTGGCACAGCCTGTGGGGCTGGTGGCTTTGAAAGACAGCTCTTGAAAAGGTAATCCACTAGAAATCAGTCTCTGCCTTGGGCAGAAATTGCTTCACTGAGCCTGTGCCAAGAAATGATCTGGAAGTTCAGGATGCCTGCTCTCTCACTGTCACAGCCCTTCCCAGCCCCAGAAAAGTGATGAAGGGTGAAGTAGCAAGCAGCTCCAAAGCACCACCTGCCATGGGGGTGTGAAGCTCAGTCTCCAGCAGGGCAGTGAAAAGCTCAAAATTTCCTCTTCCAGCTCATTAAAGCATGTGAGCTTCTCCATTTATTTCAGAAGGTTTGAGCCAGGCATTGCTCCCACAGCCAGCAGCAGCTGGATCATCTTAGGTTTTGGTGTGGATCAGCTCTCCACTAGACAGAGTAATTCCTAATTCTGGTGCCAGAGTCTCCAGCCTCAGGATCTCTACTCTGCTGTGGGACTTGAAGTGAGGAGTCTCACCCTCCCTGTGTGTGAAGAGCTGCCCCTGGGTGCTGAGATGTAACATGGCCCTACTCAGCTCCACGCTGGATGAACATGCTGGAGGAGGGCCAATAGGTTTCCTCAGATGGCACTATCTCCCACACATTTACAGGTGACCCCAGCTTGAGGCACCAGGGTTATATGAGACACCTTCTAGTTGTGTCAGCTGCATGGATTTTATGACAAAGTTAGTTTGCACAAGCAAAAATGTAAATTTGTTGGGTTTTAAAGAACATCAGCTGAAAGTACTGCTATTAAATGAGGCACCAAAGAAATGCTGAGGATGCTGCTCAGGAAAGTTGCCTGCCTGCCCTCTGTTTCCCTCTTTTGTAGAAGGGACATCCCACAAAGTCCTTGATGCCCATAGTTATTGTTGAAAAGTTGGGTAGTGCACTCTTAGGGCAAATGTCCAGCTTCCTGCTCACTCAGAGCTGTGTCCTGGCCACCAGAAGGGATGGCACAGCAGAGTCACCAGTGCCAGTACCTGTATCCCACTGCACCAGCCCAGTGCTGCAGCTGGCTCTCACCCCCAGAACACCTGTCTGTCCACCTGCAGGCCTGAACACTTCCCAGTAAAGGAGGGCAAAGGGGTAATCTGTTTTCCAGTTACACTTGGGTAGGATGGTCTGCAAGAGCTTCAGCTGCTACATCCCTGGAATTCAACCCTGAGTGAATCCATCCTTGTCTTTATCCGGTGAATGTGTTCCTGTGCCGCCCACCTTGGTGTTAGCCACCTGCCAGCCCTGAAGCAGAGCTCAAACTTCAGGGATTAATCCCTCCAGGGACATTACTCATAAACAGATACTTGCCAGGGCAGAGCTTTGATGAAGGGCTCTCTAACCATCAGCTGTCTGCAGTTCACCAGGTGGCAGAGCGTGTGGAGGCACTGGGACAGTTTGTGATGAAGACCAGGAGAACCCTGAAGGGCCATGGAAACAAAGTTCTCTGTATGGACTGGTGCAAGGACAAGAGAAGAATTGTGAGCTCTTCCCAGGTATGCTGTTGGGCACTATACAAATCTTCTTGCTATCAGATGATACCTGGGATTCTTGTAAATGTTTTCAAGATGCCCTGAAAGAAGTTCATTGGCAATGTGTTTGTTCAGGGAGTGTAAATCTAACCTTTGAATCATTGGTACACCTCTTGTAGCTAATACCCTAAATATTTCTTGTCTGGTCATAACACACATTTTCCCATATTCCCTTCTACAATAAAAAAATAGACTCATATCAGGCTACATCTATTTCCTTGTTCTTTACAGATAAAATACTTAGCAAATTTTTCAGGTTATGTGTTCAGACAAAATAATCAGGAAAACAGAAGAAATGTTGATTTTTTTTCTCAGAGATTTCTATGCACAGAAATTTCTTCTGCGGTCTGTATGATTGATATGACCTTGAAAGCTTCAGATATCCTGCCAAAATTACTGCATTTAGTTGGGCATTTTGAGAAACAGTCCTAACACCTGCTCAAGACCAGTCTCATAAGCTGGAGGAGGTAATGAGATAATTGCTTTCTAGATCCCCTGGTTCATCCTGAGCCCAGTATGGCAGTGAGTGAGCTTGTTGCATCTCACAGCTGTTCACTGACCTACATGAAATCTGTCAGGGGTCTCACTTGAGGGATAAAAATAGGCAATCTGCATTGCAAGCCACCTTCACTTACTGTGAGTTTTTACCATTCATGGTGATCTCCACAAAGAGAATAATTTAAATATTTAATGTCACACTTTTTAAAGTGGTTAAAATGTTAGTGTGTAGATCAGAAAACTGAACAGACAGGTTGAAATGCATTTTTTACTCTATTTTAAGAACTGTAGGTCCAGGTACAGAAGCAGTTGTTGCTCAGTAATAAACATTTCACTTTCATGATACAGGGAAGATTACAATTTTATGTGCAAAAGGCAAAGTAGCTGGCACGAGTGTAGCTGGTGTACACCAAGTGATTGTGCTGCTCTCTGTACAAGGCTCTGTGATGGCTATTTAGCTGGTTGTATAATGGATAATTGAAGGTTAAGTAAGTGTAGTGACAAGTAAAGTGAAAACCAGGATCAGACTGGGAAGGGAAGATGAGTAGACAGTGCAATATCCATAAACAGTCAGGTTTAAAAACAGGGGCAGGTGAGGGCTTACAGGTGGCAGGTTCCTGAGGAGATGGTCCTGTCTGTGGCATGTGCTGCAGGGAAAGGAAAACTCACAAGGCCATTAAGAGGGAAGAGAAAAACATTGAAAAATAAATTGGTCTTTTAATCAAACATGAGTCCTCTCAGAGAGGAGGAGATACACTTCTCTTGTGGCAGGTACAACAGCACTACTGAGAAGTGTCTCCTTGGTGCTTCACTGTGACCACTGTGCTGTTGTTGAAATAGAGACAAAAGGACATAACAGACTGGGGAGAGGAAATGAGCAGCAGAGTTTTCTCCAAGCTGGGAAGCAGCCACATCTCTGGAAAGCCTCAGTTTCTCTTTCTCTGTGCTTTCATTTAGGATGGGAAGGTGATCGTGTGGGATTCCTTCACTACCAACAAAGTAAGTGAAACTTTACAAAATTCTGTGCTTAGGGCAAATGACACTGGGATTGGGTGAAGGGCTCACAGGTGTCACAGGAGGCAGTGGGATAATGGGATAAAATGCAGACTTCCACTAGCACCCCACAAAATGGAGCCCAGGACAGGTCACATCCCTTCTGACCTGTTTCTGAGCAAAGTCCCTGACAGGGGACAAATCCCTCTGGGGTTTGTCATGGTCTCCAGTGGGAGAGTCTGATCCAACCTTTTTGCTCACAAGGAAGGCAAAGCCCAGCCAGCAAAACAGGGGAACTTTTACTGGCACTCCTGTAGCAGGAGTAGTGTGTGATCTGGGGACCCTTCAGCTGTGGTGTTCACTGTGAAATGGCCAAGCCCTGTCTGGGCTGCCCTGCCTGCACCACACAGATGAGGAAAAACTACTTGTTTTAACTCACTTCTACATGTGCAGCAGTGAGGGCCTTTCACAGCACTGGATGACCCAATAAAACATGCTCTGTGATCAGTTTGGGGCTCATAAATAAGGTGGAGAGTGTCAGAGAAGGACTGACCATCCTCCTGCTGCATTCTGCAGTCAGGGTTGTTGATTTACATGTTGAGTTATGGCTGGGGGAAACACCTCTAGCTTGCACTGACCCTGAGGATGTCCCACAGAACTACTGAACTGATCACTCCCACTGTTTCCCCTGCATGGACTGGAGGAGCAGTGAGTCCCAGTCTAAAGGGTGCTGTGTTTCAGGAACACGCCGTGACGATGCCGTGTACCTGGGTCATGGCATGTGCTTATGCCCCTTCTGGATGTGCCATTGCTTGTGGGTAAGTTCCCAGCTTCCACAGAGAAGCTGGTTTTGTTGCAGTGTCCTGGTGGCTTCAGAAGCTGAGAGATAGAAGTTTGCATGCTGTGATTGTGGGTGGAAGGTCTACATTAAGTGCCTCTGATTCTATTTCCATAATGGCTCGTACATATTATCTGCACTGACTTCAGTGCAATAACATTTGTTGTGTAAGCATGGAAAATAATCCTCTTTCAGCATTTATATCATGGGTTAGGAATTCTGCATGCATGCAACTTCCCTTTCTAGTGTGGTTGTCTATGTTGGATATATTTTCTAAGGGAAAGAGATTTTTATTGTGTTCTTACTTTGCACTCATTTTTTTTATGACATAGAGGTTCATCATTAATGATTACCAGTGTGTGAATAGATCTTGCTAAGATAGGATGGGGAGAAGTAACCCCATCCTTGATAATCTTGTGGTTTTCTGAGGGCTTGGGTTTGAAAAAAATAAGTTTATATAGGGGAAAAAACAGAGATGAAATGTTGGCAAAACATCTCGCAAGAAGGAACTGGGTGGATCAGACAAAGCAGGCTTGGGGTGAGAGAAAGGAACAAAGGGAGACTTCAGGGTGCAGCTTGCAGACAGAGAAGCAGACTCTGTGTGGAAAGGAGTCTGGAAATGGTTTTTGACTAGAACCCAAAGAATGGTAAGCAAGCTCTGTCTTTACACTTGCAGCAGAGACAGGGAGTTCATGTATACATTGCACCTAATTCTGTATTTCTGTTGTGGTGTCAGTTAAGTGCCGTGCATATAATGTTAGGCACAGAACCAGCAACTGGTGGTGTGCCAGGATCCCAGGGACCAGGGCAGGACTGATCTACCACAGCTCTAGGAAAGAGGCAGATATAAGAAATGATTCCTGGGTCTGACACAGCTTAACTGGTACAACTGTTCAGGAGTGGGGCAGCAGCTACAGGGGTCAGTGCTTCTGTTGCCTTTTTTCCAAATTGTTCCATAAGTTTTGTCTTCACACCCACTACTGGCTGTGCTGCCTTTTCTGTAGGAGCTAGATCACATTTGTTAAGGTAGGTGTATAATGATGCTGAAATACTGATCTTTGCCATGACAGATGTCAGCAGAAAAATGGCAGTTTGGCTGCATGTGAAACATTAACCCTGAGGTGGCTGCTGTCACCTCCCAGCTTATACTTTTGTGAGGTTTCATTCAGTGCCATTTATAAACTCGATAAGGGTGAAAAATACTGAGGCGCAGCTGTTCAAGTTCTGTAAAGCAGCCAGGCTGGTGAGGCAGCTGGGGCTTCCCTGCACAGGGAGATCCCACACAGCACAATACAGGGAAGTCGGTGCTTGTAAGGGTTTGGCAGCACTGCACTGACAGGTGGTGTCCTTCTTATCACCACTTGCCTTTTGTCGTTGCAGTTTTAACCAGTTTTCCTCTCTCTGTTACTGCTATTATTACTCTCTTCAGTGGCCTGGACAACAAGTGTTCTGTGTACCCTCTGACATTTGAAAAAAATGAAAATATGGCTGCAAAGAAGAAATCTGTTGCAATGCACACGAACTACTTGTCTGCCTGCAGCTTCACTAACTCAGACATGCAGGTAAATGCGTTCCCTACCCACTGCTCACCATCACCTAACACGAGCTGCCCTCAGGTGCAGTGCACGCATCCTCCCTTGCTCCTGGGGCACCCAAGGCCACGTCCTGCCCCTGCAGGAGCTGCTGGAACACCCTCACAGGGGACAATGAAGGTGCTGCAAAAGCTGCTGTAAGGAAATGCTTGTCACAGCCTGTGGCCAGGCTGCCCCTACAAGGGCCTATGGCTTCTGCGGAGGGAGCTCGCTGGTACCTGTTTGTTCTCTGCTCCCCAGTTTGTGCTTTTAGGAGCCCAGACTATTGCAAATAGTTAAAACCTGGTTCAGCCAGGACTGGGTTGGGTGCTGTGCCAGCTGTTGGTGACTGTGTTGTTTGCCTTCTCTGTCCCGGACATCCGGCAACATTTGCTTTTGCTTTCATTCAAAGTATTTTTTATTTGTATCAAGTGATACAATTGAGCTTGAGCATGGCCCCACAGGGTCATACCTGCTGTTTCTACATGCAGTGCTGTGTTCCCTCAAGGGAAAGGAGTGATGCTGTTCTCATCTCACAGGCAGTGGGGTGGAGCAAGAGACCCACAAAGGGAGGTGATGGTAAAGCCAGGAACTGAACGCAGATCTGAGACCAAGCCAGCCTTCCTCTCTATTGAATATCTCAAAGATCTCTTTCTCTAGGAACACAGAAGATGATGAAAGGAGCCAGGATAATCCCCTTGTCCTCTCTGGTTTCTGAATTTAATTAAAGCTCTTCTCAGTGCAGCTCTGCAGCAAAATAAGTGGCAGAATGGAGCATTTTTATAGCTCTCAATGTCAATAGAGCTGCTGGAAAGGGAATACCATGTCCCCTTCTTCCAGATATTTGGAGCTCTTTTGAAGGAAATATCAGCTCCTGTTGCTTCTATTTCAGGACATGTGAAGCCGAGAGCATGTTGTTGTTTGTCACTCTCTGGTTTCTGTAATGACTCCGAGGTGCTAATTTAAGTCCATTGCCATGGAAACAAGTGGTGGAGGTACCAGCACTCAGGCTTGCTTAGCCCTGACCTTCCTGTGCAGGAGCTGTGTGGAATTAGAGTCTACATTAAGTGGAATGTTTTTGATGAGATATAAACCCAGTTTTCTCTTTTCTTGTCTATACCTAAATGCTTTGAGATTAAATCCTATGACAGGAAAAATAGCAATTTTTTTTCATAATAAAAAAGAAAGAAAACTTTTGTTTTCCATATTAAATACAGCAAACTGCATTGATATTGAAGGTCATGTATTACTATTGTTAAGTCACAGTAGATTAAAGTGCTTTATATTTAACAAGTCAGAAATTTTTCTGAAGTCTTTAAAAAGAAGTTTTCTTATGATTGCTAGGCTTGTAAGTGATCATATGGCACTGCATGTTATTATTCAAACAAATACAAGCAACAGGATGGTCAAGCTTCTTTTAGGACACTGTTATGTAGCAGATCCTAGATTTCTTATATTCTAGAGAATCCCAGATTTCCTAGATTCTTCTAGAGAATCCCAGATTTCTTATATTTTTTTCATTTACATAAAGGCATCAGAATTAAAACTGTCGAGAATTAAAACTGTTCAGTAACTCTGAGGGTGCATAGTGCAACAAGTACATTGTGCAGGAGCTTTGCCAGCTGTGTGCAGAGCAGCTCTGCTCTCACAGTTTGCACCAGGAGGGATGTGGTGCTATCCTGGAGCAGCTCCAGCATGAGGTGGAGGTGTCCCCCAGCCCAGTGTCCCCACAGCTCCCACTGCTAGGTGCTGCCAGGGCTGCAACTCTGCCCTGAATGCTGTCTTAAACTGCAGCTCACTTTGCCCACAGAGGTGTGGAAGACTGGGTAGGAGTTTAGGGCTTAGTGTGCTCATAGGCTTTGGGCAGTGCAGTGGAGAGAGGAGATCTGGGGGTGGCTCATTGTGAGTCATTCCCAGGCTGTGGGTGCTGAAAAAGGGGGGTCCCATCCTTGCTGCACATCATGTTCCCACATGGACCCCGAGCTGCAGGGCTGGGTGACCCACACTCCTTGTTCCCAGTGCCCCATTCCAGTCTTGCTTGAGAGAGCCTCCCTGCTTCAGTGAGCAGAGAGCCAGGGAGCCTCACTTCCTAAATTAGGTATCTGCAGCTCTGTGGTGTGATAATGCTCCCCACGTGACAATGCTCCCTGTGTATTAATAGCAGCAGTTAATTGGGATCTCAAGTGTTTTGCATAGGGCAGGCAGCCATGCTCTCAAGTGTGGCAGGGCTAAGGAGCAACCCTGAAGTTGAGTCCATATAATTTCTCTTTAAGCATTAGCTGGAGCTCTAGGTTGCCAACAGACCCTTCCCTTGCACCTTTAGCCACTCCTATTCCCTTCATATTCCCTTCCACAGTGTTACAGAGCAAATCCTCAGAGCTGAAAGTCTTCATTCCTCAGCCAAGTACAAACATTCCCCAGAACAGGGGAGTTCATCTAGGCTCAAAACTGGCTGGGAAGACAATTCAGGACTTTCTTCTGCTATTATCATCTGAGAGCATTAGCATCTCTCTGCTGTAGGATTTGGAACAGTCTGTTCTGCAGCTTTGCAGACCTCTGTTTACGGGAAGAATTTTTGGAGCATCTGTCAAACATGTTCAGGGTTTAACCTTTATGCAACTCTGTGAATGGTTTTGTGACTGTGTGATCATTTTCTTCTTGAAGAGAATTTTGTTTTTAACTTGTAACTACCCACTGGGATCACTTGAGTTTCCTCACCAACCATGAGAAAAACCTGTGTACAAAACTGAGAGCCCTCCTACGTTCACCCTTGCTTCCTTCCACACCAGTGCACAGGGACTCTTTCAACCTACAGAATTTGTGATTGCATAACAGTTTCGGGTGCCAAGGGGAAATTTTGAACAATTGAGCATCATCAGGATTTAGCCACAATAACAAGCTCTGATCACATGTGCTTTCTACAAGTACTGTAGCAGATGGGAAGCTGTGAGCTGTGTTTGGGCAGTGTATGTTCAAGCCCTTTCACACACAAATGGTTTAGGACAAGTGAGAGCTGATGGACTTATCAAACAACTGTCTAGACAGGCTTACTTCCCTTTCAGAAAATCCATGTCTTAAGCCAAATTAATTTGGTTTAACCTGACTATTTCAAGCAGAAAGAAAAGAAAAAAAAAAAGGAGAGTTAAACAGGTATACTTAACTCCAAGAGTTCTTCCATTTACCTGAGCTGAATTCCAGCAGCCAAATATGGATAGAGTGAAGTACAGAGGCAGACAGGAATACCAGCATTGTTCTGACTCCTTTTTAGAGAATATGAAAATGCCAGCAGATCCTTACTGCTGTCAGTTGTGCACACCCCACCACACAAAAGTGACCATTACTGAAACATTGTGTAGGGATAGTGGTGTCCATACAGCTCTCTTTTTCACTCTACTTTCTTTCTTAAAAATAAAAACTATAAGCTGTACCTAGCTGTACATTGGCTTATGGCTTTGATTTATTGCCCAATATTTCATTAAATTAAAGCTGTCCTTTGGTGTTTGTGTAGGATGTCAGTTGTTTCTTTGTGACCGGAAGATCATCTGCTGATTCTTGTATTGTGACTCTTCTTCCCACATCCTATAGATCCTGACAGCAAGTGGAGATGGAACTTGTGCTCTATGGGACGTTGAGAGTGGGCAACTTCTACAGAGTTTCCATGGTCATGGAGCTGATGTCCTGTGCCTGGACCTGGCCCCTTCTGAAACGGGAAATACATTTGTCTCTGGGGTAAGCAGGAGCTTCCTCTCATAATAGAAAACTAAGGATATAGAAGTGAAAAGGCAGCAAAGTGGGAGTCTCATGATGTTATTGAGAGAGTGATGGAGTGTATGTTGGATGCCCCAGTGCAATCCATTCATTGCAAGCACATTTTCCAAGCTGGAGCAAATTAAACCCCTGACTGTGGGGTCAAACCCACCCAGCCAGTCTGACTGCAGTTCTGCTTACTTAGCAAGTTACACCCCACATCAAAGCAATCCAGCTCGAGATCAAAAACAACGCCTCTGCTGGGAAGAGGAAGGCTCAGAGTTGAAGATGGGGCTCCTACCACAGTGGAGGTGTGAGTCCCTGTGGGTGGGAGCCTGGAACAGCAGAGGACCTCCCATACTTTGCTCCTTCCCTGTGCCCAGATCTCTAGAGCCAGATGGGGTATGACAGGCGTCAGGTTGTGCTCAGGGCATCCAAGGGGGGTTGCAATAACGTGTGTGCCACTGTGTCCCCAGAGTCAAGGGGCAGCTTGGGCACTGGCTAACCCCTTGTGCAAGCTGGAGCAGGTAGATGAGGTGTGGCCACATCTTCAGCTGTTGCTGAGTCCTCTGTGCCTTCCAGTGGTACCAGAGGCATTTAAAGCCTCTTCATCAGTCAAACACTCTGCTCCCTGTCCTGGTACCAGGAAGCACACAAACCTCACTGGGGCTGCAGGACTGGACTGGTCAGGGAAAGTACCCAGGGCATCTTCCAAATCATGTCCTGCTGCTGAGGGTTCACTGTTCCCAGGCGGCTGAGCCATTGGCACACAGCCTGGTAGTGAGGCAGGCCAGGCATAAAGGTGGGTGGGATGGGGCTCAACTCCTTTTCAAGGTGATCTTAGTCTTTCCCACATTAGAAAGTGAGTGTGCAGATGAGAGCTGCCAGGAGCTGAGAGGCCAGTTGCTACCACTAACTCTGGTGAAGGTACCAATAACTTTGCTGGTTTCTGAGCCCCACCAGCACTAGTTGATCCTGTATTTGATGATGGAAATGGCCCTTGTGCCAGAGGGTGCCAGCCATGGGTTAGGGGTGCTTGGAGTCCTGGTTTTATCCCTACACAATATACCTGGATCTCTTCTGTTATGGCTCTTTTGATCAAATCTGGCTGGCACATCAGGAGCAGAGTCCAGCACGCTGGCCCAGCTTGCCTGCTGGTAGCACAGCTGCTCTGAAGCGTGACTGAAAGCTAATTCCATCCAAGTGCCTTACTTCTCTCGGGTTTTCCTGTCACCAGGCTTGCTTCCCAGAAAGGATAGGTTCATTCTCCCTGGGAACAGCTCAGCTTATTATAGGGCAAGGAATCACAAGCAGCTCTGCTACTGCTAAGGGAATATGTCATGCTTGTGTTGATGGAGCAGCTTGGGCATGTCTGTGCTTACAGGCATTCACTTAATTCATCACATGCAAAACACCACTGCAGTGAGGACCTGTCTGACATCGTGTCAGTGCAGGTACAGGCAGAACAGCAGGAAGGTAGAGTGGCATGGAGAGATTCCTGAATACTGGGCCTCTGTGGTACAGTAACCTTGAGCTGGAATAAGCAATGTCAGTCTATCAGCATGTGGGCTGGGTGCTGTTACATTTAATGACTGAACTGAAAATTCCAGCCCTCCTGGGTAAGCTCAGGGCTGTTGTGCTCAGTGCCCTCTGAGCAAGGCTCCTCAGCTGAGTTGGGTATCACTCAGGGAGTCCATCTCTCCACAGGTGGTGGTGGCTGGTTTCTCCTTCAAAACCTTAGGAGTCAAAGCACCAGCTTGTCAGATTGGTCTTGCTCCCAAACTCCCAGAGGGGTCAGTGAGAACAGTGCACATGGGAGCAATATGAAGGGCTGGGCTTGGGATGTGGTGGGGCTTGAGAGGGAAATATGCTGGGTCCAAAATATTCTTTATCCTGTTTGGTTTCCCTGGTGCAGAAATCACAAGCTGGTGCCAAGGAGCATTACATCTTTTAAATAATGGCATCTTTACTAAAAACGCTAGGATTTCATTATAACAACAGAATTTTTAAAAAAGAGAGAGAGAAATATGTGAATTGTGAGGAAACTGTTTAATTTAATTAGCTATCATATTTGATTAAAATAAATAACGTGTGGCATGGTCTGGTGAGCAGGGTGCTCTGGCTCAGCAGAAGCAGCAGCCACCTGGCCTGCCCTGCTCTTCCCAGACAGCCTCAGAGAGGCTGAGCCCCTGGAGCTCAGCCTGCCTTCTCCTCAGCAGGGGCAAGTTTATTAAAATCTCCCATCACTCTTCAAAGCAAAGTCCATGTTCTTTTTCCTGTCACTACAACTGTGACAGCAGTGAGACATTGCAGCTCAGAGCTGAGATGGTTCTTGCCCCAAGGACAGTGTAGACTACATGGGCCAAGCCCCTTGCCCAAGGAATTCAGGGTGCTGAGCACTGAGTGTTAAATGATCCTTTCAAAGCACAGCTTGGAAGGGCAGGTTTTGGCTTGAGGGTGAGATGAAGTGCTGCTATGCTGTTTTTCTCATCCCAACCACACCATCAAGCGTGTGGGTGCAGAGCTCTGACAGGGGATAACCCTGGTCAGAGGCTGGGCTAGAAACCCTCTGGATGCACTGATCTAATTTTCTCTTTCAGTGTATGAAAAGAACTAGTTTTAAAACTTCAAATGCTGGATGCTGGTATTTTATATTGGTTAAGTGGTCAGGGAGCAGGTCAGTTGAGCATCTCTGTGCTGTGGTGGGGCTGCAGACAGAGGTAAGGCAGCAGCACAAGCAGAGCAGGCTGTGAGTGCAGGGCAGCTCCAGCCTTCCTGAGGAGCTCTGCTCCCACCTGCAACTGCACAGCTGAGGTACCACTGCAGCCAGTTCTGGGGCTGCTCAGCTGGGTGAATCTCAGAGCTGTGATGTTCAGAGCTTCTGAATGTAGTGAGCTTGATGATGAATATCAGCCACAGGAGGGGTGAATGTCACCATTTGCACAACTGCAATGATTTTTTTTCCTTACTAGGGATGTGACAAGAAAGCCATGGTTTGGGACATGCGGTCTGGACAGTGTGTGCAGTCATTTGAAACCCATGATTCAGATATCAACAGTGTCAGGTCAGTGTGTTTCTGGGAGAGGACACATTTGCAGTGTTGGGCAATGTGCTGCTGATTCTATTTCTGAAGTCTGAGCTCATCCAAGTAATGTAATGTGTTCTGGTCTTCTTTCACTTGTGCACAGATATTATCCAAGTGGAGATGCTTTTGCCTCTGGTTCAGACGATGCCACGGTACGTTAATTCAGCAACCTAATTTAGGAAAATTTTGTTGCTTCCCAAGTAAGATTTTCTTAAAGACTAGGTCACATCCACAGAGGGCTTTTAGTGACTAAACTGGGCCTGTGACACCAAATTTGCAGAAATAATAATCCTGTGAGGTAAGACACTAAATACCATATATAATGTTCTAGGGAAAATCACACAACACTGTAGGTCACTTCTTCAAACTTCTCTACAAGACATACTGTCCAAATACTCATTTCAGATTCTCTGTGTCTGAAGTTTCATTACTAAAATTAGTTGTCTTACTGGAAGATATTTGGCTTCACATAGCTCTTGGTCACAGCATGGGAGGAACCAGCTGAAATGCTGCAGCTTGTGTCAGCATGTCCCAGAAAGCAGAGGGGCTACGGGCTCCGGGCAGATGTGGGTAGCTGGCCTCTGCAGCCCCAGGGTGGCCTTGGCCACATCACTGCAGTGAGTCACTGCCTCCAGGTCATCCTAGATCATCAGCCCTTAATGGATCTCACTTATCTATGAGCAATCTGCTAGGAGGGGCTCAGAATGCATTGACAGGTAAATTTAATCAGCACAATGTATACAAAATGCCCTTTACCTCTGCTGCCCTGTGCCCCTGAGTGATGCTCAGGGCTGATGGCCCTCCCTGCAGCTGCTGTGTCCCATGGGGGACCAGGCTCTGCCCCACCACAGCCCTGCAGGGCCTGAGCTGGCAGTTAAGTGTAGCATGAGAGCAGATGATGGGGAGGCACCTGGCACCTCATTTCTTCTGGTAATTCAAACATCACACTGAGTCACCTGGGAGCAAAGACTTTAGATAAAGTTCTCTGCCCTCAGAGCATGTTTTGAGTCCACTCAATGCTAGCTAACATTCCTTTTGTCTTCATTGGATGAGGAGACATTCCAAGGCTCTTTGGAGAGAGTGACCCTGATTTTATGTTTTGAAAACTGCGATTAGAAGTTAATGCCTCTAGCCCTGTGGTGAGCCAAGTGGCTCTCTGCACACTTGGATGCAGTACTGTGAGCTCTTGAGATGCTGAGGGAGTGATACAGAGAAATTGTCCCATCATTAAATTCCAGTGAAAACACTCTTTCACCACCCAGTATCACAAGTTCTTACAAATTTATTTGCTATTTTTTTCTTTTTTAACCATTCTTGACACCCCTGACTCAAGCAGGAGAATGGGAAATTCCACCTCTGTACTTTTGACAGAGGTTTTGGCAGTTTCCAGCTACCTCATTCTTTAAATGAAGGGGTTTGTTTTTGCAGTGTTACAGAGTGGTATCCTTGACCTGATTTATATACTTGGGGATTCTGAGGAACAGATAATCCTGACTGGAAGTAATCCATAAAAGCGTGCTCAGATGACAGTATTGTCATCTGCGGTGACTCCAGCTCCCTGTCAGGACAGTCTGATGAAATTATTCATCTGTGTGGAGCACTGGGAGACCTGGACTGCACATACCTGGCAGCTCCCCAGTGCCCTGCAAATCAAACAGCCCCTTCTTTATGTGCAGGCTTGAATACCAGCCATTTTTCAATAGTAAAGTCTTAATATTAGCAATCCCATCTGGCCAGTGTTTGCTTAAGCTTAACTTATTGAGGAGGAGTTTCAGTTCACATATTTTCAAAAGTGCATTTTGATTTCAGGGCTAACAGACTGCCTTTCTACATGGCAGTGAAGTCTGAAGTCTGGCAGTGAAGCCTGATACATGATTTCCATGTCAAGCCAAACTTTGCTGGCAAATCATAAAAACAGGAAGTCTAGGTTGTTAGAGGTGATTTGGAATTTTCCATGAGAAATGAAAACCAGAGATCTGCATTAAAATGTATTATTTCACTTGAATTATTTTCACATAGGTTTTTCAAACAGAGAGGCCTCCCGGAAGGGCAGGGACTGTTTGCTCTCCTGGCTTTACTCAGAGCCAGCACTACCACCTAGGCTCCTCTGTGCCACATGGTCTGTGATCTCAACACTGATTAGAGACTTGATCCCATCTCCCAGGCTGTGGCTGAACTGTTGTTTCAGAGATTGTGTCCACATGCACCTCCCCAGCAGCAAGATGCCCTGATCAACCACAGAGGGGGAAGCAGGAGGGCGTGGGGACTCCACTGGCTACCATGGCCCACCACTCATGTCCTTCTAGGACAGGCAGGAGGCTTAGAGAAGCGGCTTGAAAAAGAAAGTTCTTCCTGCAGTGTATACAAAACAGCCTTGTGTTGCTTAGATCCCTGTTAGAGGATCCCAGTTACAGCAGCCAGAAGCAGAAGGACAGGAGGAAGCAGAAAGAAGCAGAAGGAAAGAAGCCAAGCAGCCGCTTCCTGTGATGTCTGTTAGGCTGCACTTCCCACTCCCATTTTTTTCCAAATATTGTAGCCAGTGCTTCCAGTATTTGCTGAGGCATGTGTGTTGGTTTTGTTTTAATCCTAGTGTCGTTTATATGACCTTCGTGCAGACAGAGAAGTAGCAATTTATTCCAAAGAGAGCATCATTTTTGGAGCATCCAGTGTGGACTTCTCTCTCAGTGGTGAGACTTGAACTTTGGAGGTTATCTTATTGTTGAGATTTGAGGGGAACTGTAGAATTTTTCAGTTTAATTTAATAAAATATTCATTCTTAAAAGTTATCAAAAGTAATAAGTATCAAATGCATGGAAGCCTTCTTTTGCCTCTGTAAAAATAATTACTCTTTAAATAACCTAGCTGGCTATTGCTTCGTTGTAGTGATGAAAAGTATTTTCCTGGCCCTACTGAAGGCAGGAAATATTTTGCCATTAACTACAGCTGGGCTAGAGTTTCACAATAATAATGAAAAACATTTCAAAGGCAACATGAAATGTAGCTAACTATTAAGTGCAGTTACATAAATAGTTTTTAAAAGGATAACAAATGATTAATAGTAAAAGTACATTAGAGGGGTATGAAGAAAGAGACGTTGCCACTTTTCACTACAGATCCTGAGAGTCTTGTCTCTCCTGTCCCAGCACATATGCAAGGTCCCCAGCAGTCACCCTGCGTGGGGGTGAGTGGGTGGTGTACTGCCCTCCTCCTGGAACTGAGGCAAACCTCTCTGTCATGGTCACAAGCACCACAGCTCGTCCCGTTGGCAGTGAATCACTTACCAAATTGTTAATCATTCAAGCATTTGTGTTCAGCTTCTGTGTAAGGTCTGAGTTAAGCATTATCACCCTGCAATAGCTGTTAGAGTGCTCTTCGGTCTGTCACGATTTGAAGTCATCCCCCACCTGTAATTTAACTAAAATTTACAATGCTTTTAAGTAATTAACTATGTTTCAGCATTTAGCCTGGACAGCTCAGCAGCGGGCAGGGCTGTCTCAGGGGCAGGGGACGCAGCTGTCCCAAGGGAAGCAGTGGGCACAGGGTGGGCTGTGGTTCCTGGGCATCGGTGTCCTGCAGTCAAGGAATGCTAAGAGTGTCAAATGTCTTTGCAGGTCGCCTGCTGTTCGCAGGCTATAACGATTACACCATCAATGTGTGGGATGTGCTGAAGGGGTCCCGTGTGTCCATTCTGTTCGGACATGAAAACCGTGTCAGCACCCTGCGAGTCTCTCCCGACGGGACCGCCTTCTGCTCGGGCTCCTGGGACCACACGCTCCGGGTAAGCGCTGGGAGAGCTGCCCCGGCTGCTGCTTTCTCCAATTGTTCACTGAAAGAGAACTGCCCCGGCTGCTGCTTTCTCCAATTGTTCACTGAAAGAGAACTGCCCCGGCTGCTGCTTTCTCCAATTGTTCACTGAAAGAGAACTGCCCTGGCTGCTGCTTTCTTCAATTGTTCACTGAAAGGGGGTGAAGGGGCAGGGTTGCTAGGGGAAAACTGCTCTAGGGGAACTAAGGAGTGTATAAAACAGTGTAGAAGATGAACAGCAAAGCCAAATAAAAATCCCCACTAAGTGCTGGCGGAACTGCTAAGTTTGAGCTTGCTGTTGGGTTACATGATATCATTGCTGCTGATACTCTGTACCACTAATGTGATCGGCTTACCAATGTTCATTTAAGGTTTGTTGGGAGAGTCAGGGTCATAAAGAAGTGCTCATCTCTCTCTCTTTCTGCAGATCTGGGCGTAACCTGAGATCCTGTATGCAGAATCAAATGGAGACTGAAACCCTGGACTACAAAAACTGCATAAAGAAGCCATTCCTCAAAATCAAATATTCACTACAGTCCAAAAGAGTGACACTCAGCCCACAGATTAACACAACTAGGTAGAAAATGTAGTCTGCTTGAACACATAGCAAACATCAACTTGTAGTAAAATGAAATGTTTTAATTTTTTTTTGAAACTATATTCTTTTATTAGAATTAGTTTCATTATTTATAAAGGGACTTTTCTCCAAAGTCACCTGTATCATAGAATTGAGTATTTCAGTGCACATTATGTATTTATTTGCATGCATTTAGTTCCTTTTTAAGTAAAAAAAAAGTCCTGATTTTATCAGGATAAAGCAAAAGGCTTTGGAAACATTCCGTAGTGGCATATTGAATTTCAGTGTTGAAAAATGGAAAGAGAAACAATTCTGATACTTTATGATGGTGTTATGGATGACTGAACCTTGGTGGTAAGTAGAGGAGCAAAGGACCTACTGTGAAGGTACTGGCTGCTGTCATAGAAATGTATTTTTTGTACAGAAAAAAAATCCCTTCAATCCCTGTTTTTTCCTACTGTCTTTTTATATAGAAATAAGTATTTCATCTCTGTTACCTGAATATAAAGAATCTAAATATATACAAACTTATAAACAGCAAAGAGGAGGGATATAAACATGATTTACATAATCATGAGGTAATACTTAACCAGTAGTTTCTTAGAAATTTTTAATTGTATCACTTGGTGAGTGAATTTTCTTTTACTTAAAGAAATACTACATGCTAAGCACTAAGGGATACTACACGCTAAGCATTAAGCACCATTATACTGATGGTCAAATCTTTTCCAAGTCAGTCATAGTCATTCTATGACCATGATTCTTATTTGCATTTTGAGCAGTTCATGCAACTTTGGCAAGGCAATGTAGCTTAAATGTATATTAAAGCAGTATATGCCCACCTTAAGGTCCTTCTGCAATGTTCATGCAAATACAGGTGGAATCATACAGTCCTTACTGTCACAGTCATCTCCCACTGCCATGGACATGGTTTTGTCTTATTTGGACTTGAGGGTGAATAACAGTGAGCTGTTGGAAATCTGCTGTGAGCCACAGTCCTGCCAGTGCTTGATACTGAGCTGACCAGAGCACGTGACTCCATCTGATCCAGGAGTCACTGCTTTTCAGGAGAGCAGGACAGCTGGCCACATTGCTGGCAGCACCCAGCCCTCTGTGTGAGCATGGGAATGCCATAAGGACTGGCAGGACCACCCCACACAGAAGTGATGCTCTAGAATCAAGATTTAATTAGATTAATTAATTATGGAACCATTGTGAGATTATATCTGCATTCATACATTGAAAACTATTGGGGCTAGAGTGTTCAGCTCTGCTTATACCAACAGGTTCTGAGTCTCACCTGAGCACAGGCACAAAGAGCTGGAGTAATGCTGGGGGCTTGCACAACCTGCCCTTTGAAATGCAGGTGGTGAGGTACAGCTCTGAATATATCATAGATATGATTTGTATTTAGATTGGAACAAGAGAAAAGCTTACTGGAATGAACCTGTTTACAAGCTCACTGGTCACTAGAGTTTAATGATAACATCCTCACTCTATTTGCAAGTGGTATTTTTTTACAATTATATAAAAATCATATTAGAAACAAAGTCTCCTCATCCATGAAAACCTTAGGTTCTGTGAATCCATAACCAGTTAACCTAAGACACTGACATTTATACCAGCTGTCCATCCCAAATGGAATAGGTCAGCTGTTTTCACTTGGAAAAGTCAACTCTGATGCTTTGCAATATTTGTGGAAAACTATCCCTGTAACAAACTGAATGCACTATGGAAATGTCATATAGAACTCACTGTGCAATATTGAGTCAATACACTGTACACATTTGATCAAAAGATTAATATTAATGTTTAGGTAGTATTTATTGGCAAGATGTTTGTTTCAAACATAATACATTGTGTGGATACTTATGAACAGCCTAAATACAATAAATTGTATTTTACATATTGAGAACATGTATGTAGTAGTTCTTCCCGTTGTTTAGGTATTTATAATGGTAGCTATTTTTTTTTTTTTGCTTTTTTTTGACATTAACTTTTTGCACCACACAGTTTCTTTAATGATTTCTCCTGCAAAAATCTCAGGTAAAACCCAGATCTACCAGAAAATTGCTTCTGGAATATCTTCTGGAAATACCCAAGGTGAACCACAGCAGAGGGGAATGAGCAGCCCATGAAGTGCTTGAAATGCCACCTCAGTTCCCCCTAGATTCAGGAGGCGAGAACTCAGATTGTTTTCCTGCTCAGAAGGATCCCAGCTAATGTAATGTTTTCTTTCCAGATCCTTGTTGGATATCCAGGAAGTTACTGGAAAATGCAGGGTACGTGTTTTGTGGGAGCTCCTTGGGTTGCAGCAGGATGCCAGTGAAAAGCTGGGCACTGAAATTCTGTTGAGGGCCCAGGCTCTGACTTTTTGGGTAAATCAGATGTGCAGATCACCTGGAGGTGCAGCAGTTCAGCTTTCTGCCTTGTCAGGAGAGAACTGAGCTGTGGCCAGCTGTCCTCTCGACTTCAGTGTGGGTTTTATGGTCAGCCTGAAGGTGGCTTGTGGAAGCGCTCAGTTTAGTCACCAAAAAAAGCACCTTCTTAACTTAGGTGCATTGTTTCATTTCCCCTCTTCTGAGGGCCTGGGGAAGTGCTGAGCCAGCTTGTTCTGAGTGACATCAGTGTCCAAACTGTCACCAGATCCAGAGAATGACTCTGACATTGCATCTTGCACTTCTGTTCTTGAATGGAGAAATGCTGTGGGTTTTGCACTTCAGGGCCTCTGCCTTTGGACTCGTGTGTGGGGGTGCATGGGCTTGCCACCTGTGAAAATCACCTCTTTGTTCCTGAGGTAATGGTGAAAACATCAACCAGGATAGGCCTCAACTTCCCATCAGATAAATGACACTTGGAGGAACAGGACACTGAAGTACCCATTGTGTTTTTTGCTCACTAAAGGCTGTCCGGGGAGGCTTTGGAAAACCCATGGTTTCCAGATTTCCTTGTTTGTATTTCAAGCTATTTGTGTCAGAAACACCTCTATTCCATAAATGTGTGGAGAGAAGGGAGCTGTAGCTGGGGCCTGTCCTGTTAAACAAAAATGCTATATAAAAAGGAAAGGTGGAAAAGGATATTGCTAGAGAAAGAGCAGCCTCTCCCTCTTGCACTCCTTGTGAGGAATGCAATAGGAAATTCCTGCTCCAGGATTAACAATTATAAGGGAAAATTGTTTTAAAAGCATGTGTGTAAAACTCTTACAAAAAGTACAGATCTCATTCCAGCCACTGCTCTAGCACATAAACAGACTCTATTTTCCTGCTTCAAAACAAAACAAAAGCCAAGAATGGGGATGTAGAACTAAAGTTCGCCTTAGGAGGGACTCTAAGGGATCCGGCCAATTCTTGATAGTGATCTGAGAAATTGCAACAGGATTGATTCCAACCACCTATTTTTGGATTTTCTAATGGGGATGTAACATGGAGACAGCTGTATCTCAGGACAGATGGAGTGAAGCCAAGCTGTGCTGACACACTGGGCACCTTGAGCCGGCTGTGGAACAAGAGGTGAGGCAGCCGTGGTGCCAGGGGCTGCAGCAGTGCCTGTGCCGGCACGGGCACAGCAGGGCTGGGCTGTGACAGCGTGGGCACCGCCACGCTTTGCCCTGGCACCTTCAGCAGCTCACCTGCAAAGGGCACTGAGCAGGACACACAGGCTGGGTGTACCCTCTGCCATGTGCCCTGTGCCATTTGCCGTGTGCCCTGTGCCATGTGCCCTGTGCCGGGCCTGCACCGCGCTTGGGGCGGTGTTCAGGGCAGTCCCGATGGGCTGGGGAGCAGCTGATGCTCTCGGAGCTGCCCCGGCACGGCCGGGATGCAGGGAAGGTGTCCCGTGTGCTCTGCAAATGACACCCTTGGCCAGCGCTGTTCTCAGCTGCTTTATCTAACAGTGTGCAGGGCCCGACTTTGCGCCATGAAGGTCCTAATCCTATATTTTGCCTATATGCTCATCAAAAAGCAAAGGCCACTGCATTTGCTGGGTAAAAAACTCACCTCATGACCCTGAAAAACCTGTATCTCCTTTGATGAAAAGAATACAGGTTCGGGCGGGAACAAATGTGGAACAAAAAAGCCAAAAGGGATAAAAATACGTATTTGAGAGCCAGCACCCGGTAAATCCCTCAGCTGCCCAGCGAGGCCCGCAGCAGTGTGCCGCAGATGTCTTTCCAGGGATGCGGGCGGTCCCTCCCGATGGGAACGTGCCCGCTTGGCCCCTCCCCGGAGGAGGGGAGTCCGGGTGGGCCGGGCCGGGCCGGGCCGGACCGGGCCGGGCGGAGGGGCCGCCCCGCCTCTTAGTCGGCGGCAGCTGCTGCTGCGGGGCTGCCGCCGTGGGCAGCCGCCATGCCGCGCTCGCTGAAGGAGGAGACGGCGCTGCTGCTGGAGGATTACTTCCAGCACCGCGCCGGCAGCGCCGCGCTGCCCTGCAGCCCCACGGCGGGCACGCTGCGGCGGGCGGCGGCCGAGCTGGAGCGGCAGGAGCGGCCCTTCTTCCGCTCCTGCGCGCCGCTGGCGCGGGCCGAGCCGCGGGAGGCGGCCGCGCTGCTGGCCAGGGTGGCGGCGCAGCTGGAGGCCGACGGCGGCCTCAACTGGGGCCGGCTGCTGGCGCTCGTGGTGTTCGCCGGCACGCTGGCGGCCGCGCTGGCCGAGCGGGGCTGCAGCGACGGGCCGCGCTGCCTGGCCGCTCACCTGGCCGCCTACCTGGCCGAGGAGCGCGGCGAGTGGCTGGAGGCGCACGGCGGATGGGTGAGCGGGGACGGGGCGGCGGGAGCGGCCTGGGGCGGCTGCCGGGACCCTCACCCCATCCCCGGTTAGCGGGGCAGGACAGACCCCGGCTCCGTGCGGCGGCTCGTCCCGGGGGGAGACGTGCCCGCCTCACTGCCGGCGATGGGCGGGCACCCGGGGGCTGCTGGCCATCGCGACACGATTTGTGACCCTCGGGGATGGTGGCCATCGCGACACGATTTGTGACCCTAGGGGCTGCTGGCCATCGCGACACGCGGTGTGTCCCCGGGGGCTGCTGGCCATCGCGACACGATTTGTGACCCTAGGGGATGGTGACTATCGCGACACGATTTGTGACCCTAGGGGATGGTGGCCATCGCGACACGCGGTGTGTCCCCGGGGATGGTGGCCATCGCGACACGTACTGTGTCCCTAGGGGCTGCTGGCCATCGCGACATGCGATGTATCCCCGGGGGATGCTGACTATCGCGACACGCGGTGGGTGCTCGCTGGGCCATTGGGGTGCCTGCGGGTGCCGGCTCACGGCCCCGTTGGGATGCAGCCGCCCGATCCCGCAGGAGCGATGTTGCTGGGCGAGGGAGCGAGGTTTCCCTTCCCCTCGGCTCCGCAGCCTGTGGATTTCGGCGAGCAGGCTGGCACAGGTCCTGTCCCAGGTGTGAGCACAAACCTGTGCCTGTCCTTAAGCACACCTGTGTATTAAGGCGCTCAGCCTGCAGACCTGCGGCTCCTGTTCTGTCCGTCCCGAAGCCGGTCAGGTCGCGCCTGGGGAGGAAAGTGTGGGTATTTTGTCCACCCCCAGAGATGCACACTTGGAGGTCCAGCTTTTAAGGCGTTGGTGCAGCTCTGCCTGCATTTCTGAACAAAATGTCAGCTATCCCACAAAACTGCTCGTTTCCTATTTCCAGTCCTAGTGGAATATTTTGTCAGTACAAATAAGCACTAAAAATAGAAAGGAAGGGAAGTAGCCACTGGTTTAGTTGACTTTTCCAGAGACCAAAATGAACTTGGTTTTCCAGTGGTCACTGGTCCATCTGGCCGCTCAGAACAGTGTGGTGGTTGGCTGCAGAGGACACTGTCACTTGGCAAAATTGGCAAAATCCTATTGCCTGTTCGCACAAATCAAAGTGTAAAGAACAAAGTTCCGGAAGAAATTAAGAGTATAACTTGTTTACATAGACATCTGCGGAGCAGAGTTCAAACATGACCATCTGGAGTTGTATTGCTGCCACTTTTGATTATCACAATGATCTGGGAGAGCAGCTGCCAGCTTTGCTCTGTCATAGGTCAGCTCTGAGCAGTGTCCACCCGGCCTTTCCAAGAGAGTGTGTAATCAGTCTCACATCCACAGAGATGGGACTGGCTTTGGCCTCCTGTCTTAAAAGTGGAAATTTCCATATCCTGTGTTTGAGATGCTTTCTGAAACTTAAAGTAGGAAGAACAGTGCTGGCAGCTTCCATCAGAAACTTGCCTAAAAGGGCAGAAATATGTAATGACGCATTGAGCATCTCAATAGGAAGTGTGCAATTGTCTCTTGAGCTAAGTATGCAAGCACTTGTAGCTACTCCTTTCTGTTGCCTTGTGCAGAAGCTCTCACAAAATGCTTTTGCCTGTGCCCAAGGCAGTGGGTTTAGACTTCCATGACTGGAACAGAGACCTGCAGCTGACAGAGGCTGAGCTGGGAGGATGAAACTCAAAGGCTTGTTAAAGAAACCCAGTTTAACTGCGAGCTAAACAACTGAGTGTCCTTTCTGTTGGTGTTGCAGGATGGATTCTGTCGGTTCTTTGGCAGACCAGGCTCGGAGGCAGCTGAGCAGAGCAGCACCATTGGCAACGCCATCGTGGCGGCGGCGGCGGGCATCGGCATGGCGGGGCTGGCGTTCCTCCTGGTGCGGTAGGACACCGACGCATCTTGCCCAGGGAAAGTACTCTCAAAACTGACAGTTTACCAGATTTCACTTTATTTTCTATAGAACAGACCCTCTAAGAAGAAGTCTATATTTTTAAACTGGCTCAGAAAACTGCCTCACCAAATCCTTGGCCATAAACTGCTTCACTCACTACCCAGTGACGGCACAGACAGATGTATACTAGAGCACTATTTGTGTGTGTTCAAAACCCCTTGTCTCCAAACACCCTCTGTCTGGACTTTCTTTTTTGAAGGTGTAACCTA